GAACTATTGACATTTTTATAGATATAAGCTCATCCCGATGTTATATTCATCGAGACTTTTCATTTGAGTACCCACATCAATTTTTCATATATTTATAAATATTATATATATGTATATATGAAAAATATATCAAAATGCATGTGGGTACTCAAATGAAAGCTCTTAATGAGTGTAACATCAGAATGAGCTTATATCATTAAAAACGTCAATAGTTAAGAAAGTACAGTGCAATTTAACAAAAGTCATTATTTAATAAAGCAAAATTGTATTTATTTTTATTTCACAAGTCACTACAGTTTTTTTATAAAAAAATTTATTCTAAAATAAAAAAAACAATAATTAATTTTTTTTATCTTTTAAAATATTTCATTATACGCCCATACATTTTTTATCATGATAAGTATCACAATCATTTATTATAAAAAAGAATTTCTATGTATTAGATAAGTGTATCTCTAAACTGGCGGTGACCAATCACGGAATAGTACAAGCAAAGGTAGAGGTAGGAAAAAGTAAACAACCTGTTGATACTAACAATAAAATTTCATTGAGGCTCCGCAATAACTTCTTAGACTTAGAGTCCGGGATATTTATAAAGTGTGAACGCTAGCGTGTGCGGGTATCATACAAGTCGAGGCTTTTTATTATATTTGTTTTTCAGCCGCTTTTTAGGGCAGTACTTACACATACATAAATATAAAATATATACCGACTAATATATTTCCTATGTACATCAGTCTCGGAATATAACACATGTTAGGCGTGTACTGTTCAAGAGTAAAAGTACATATATAAATAAGTATCGTATTTCCGTGGCAGACTTATGAGCGAGCACGTGTCCTAGTGGAGAGCATGAGTTCCTGCGGGATGAAAGACACTGTTGAGTATTATGGCCTACAAGGTGGTCGGTTATGATAATTCTACTTATACTCAGTTTGCCGTCAAGTAAATATATTACGAGGAAGAGGTTAAGCCAGACCACGCTAGACTGTTATTAAAATTATTACGTTACCAAGATTATAGCTTGCTAAGTTCATCACCATCGCCGGATTATAATATATATGTTTTAAAAAATAGATAATAGATATGAGAGACCAAAGACCCTCGGTAATTATTTCTTGGCTTTAGCTCTGTCCCGGGTTTATCTTTTTTTTTTTTTTTTTTTTTATTTTTTAATTTGCTTCGAACAAATTTTTATAGAATGCTTCTAATTAGAGATATTTTTTTCTCGACCCTCCTGAAAATAATTGGATTTTTTATGACTTTTGTTCTAGACAGTAGGTTTAATTATTTTATGGTAAAATGGGCGACGTATGCATGGAAAAAAATGATTTATAGGACTTTGAGAGATGTATCGTGGGTTTATTATTTCATTTTTAACTTTTGAGATTTTAAATTGTTTTTATTTTATTAATCAAACTAGAAAGTCGGAAAATTTTTTTCAATTACAGTTTGTTTTTTTTTTTATTCCAATTGATAAATTTCACAAGAATTTAAAATTTCAAAACTGTTTAATTTTAAATTAGATTTAGAAATAATCATAAAAATTTAATGAGTGTAAATTTGACATTGATATTTTAATTATTACAAAATATCAATAAAAAAATAAACAAATTACCTCAATACAAATTTACATAACTTATTGAATATTCAATTTGTTCTTAATTAAAAAATTTGATGTAATTAAAAACAGTTTATTATTTAACAAGTCAGCAATTTTATTATTTAATAATAAAAAATAAATATATATAGATACATAATTAAGAAATGACCTTGGATCTCGTGAACTATTGACATTTTTAAAGATATAAGCTCATCCTGACATTGCACTCATCAAGACCTTTCATTTGAGTACCCACATCAATTTTTCATATATTTCATATATTTATATATATTATATATATAAATATATGAAAAATATATAAAAAATGCATGTGGGTACTCAAATGAAAGCTCTTGCTGAGTGTAACATCGAGATGAGCTTATATCTTTAAAATATATATTACATATATGTATATATGAAAAATATATCAAAAATGCATGTGGGTACTCAAATGAAAGCTCTTAATGAATGTAACATCGGGATGAGCTTATATCTTAAAAAAAGTCAATAGTTAAAAAAGTACAGTGCAAGTTAACAAAATTCATTATTTAATAAAGCAAAATCTCATTTATTTATAGTTTCACATAGTGACTGCAAGGTTGCTAGTATATTATTAAAAAAAAATCAACTAGATAAAACCTTTTTAAAAAAAATTTCATAAAAACAAGAGGTTAATCTTTCTCCTCATATATTTCCCTATTTTCATCAGCATGTAGGTACCCAGCAAAAATAATGTACCAAGCCTGTCAGTAGGTGGTACGTGCTTCCAAAGGGAACCTCATTTTTCCAGTCGTCTCCTCGTTTTCTAGCTACTTATCTCTTTTTTTTTTCTATTTTTTCCTCGTACACTAGTTTCTTCAACTTTATACCACACTTTTTTTGTCTTAACAACTTTTTTGTTCTTGTTTATTTGATGACGAACGTGCGCAGAGATAGTGGACTCAGTGTTCTCGCCGAAAGAAGAACGATTCGAGTGTCTCTTCTTCAACGCTTGGCTCTCTCGCAGAGGTCGTTAAGGTTTTTAACCACTCTTATGAACCTCATCTCGCCTTTTTTCCTCAATCTTCATCTTCATCTCCTCTTTTATATTTATACATAGTTTTTTTTTTTTTACTCTTATTTGCACTGCCAACCAATTGACTGTGTTGACTTAGAGGCCACGTCTATCTCGTTACGTCATGACCTCTTCTTGTGAATTTTTTACTCCGCTATCCGCTTTAATAAATCTCTTAGCCTATAAAATATAAAACACTAACTAAATTTAAAAATATTAAAAATTTACCCGATTATTTATTATATTAGCATTAATTCACTATATAACGTTAAGATTATTTTGTGAGTTTTTTTCATTAGTCCCAGTTAAGTCTCGTTCCGTCAGCTCTTTTATTATAATTTTAAAGATTGAAGACACCCACAAGCCCACCTACGGCAGGTACTTTTAAGAGCTAAGCCCAATAATATTTTAACACAACATAACAGGCCACCCATATAAAACACTCTGTGTTTTCTTAATCTTCCTAGTTTGTTATATTCCTGATATTTATTACGGTAAAGAGAAACTCAATCGCGCAATCGACAGGTTTTCTTCGCCCGTAATATATAAAGACTTACCTGCTCATATGTGAGCACATAAGTATGTGTAGTGTCTCATATTATATTTGTATGTGTTGGAATTCATGTACCAGAACTACACAGATGTAAGATGTAGTTGCTCTGGCGCTAATCCGAGTGGCGCGTGGCCCATACTCATACTCTTGCCAGAGAAACGTGGGAAGACGATGAACTAGATCCGGGTACACTCACTTATCGATCCAAGTGTCGATTGTCACCATCCATCTTTCTTTCAATACCTAAATTTTGGTTTTTTTTTTTATTTTTAATCATTAAATATCGTGAAAAATAAAAAAACTTACCTGAATTTTTGGGAAAATATTACAGAAAAATTTTTTTTAATTTATTTATTAAGAAAGTTTTAAGGAGCTACTTATTTTTAAAATGTCAGATGTCTATCATTAATAAATCTGATTTCTTCTGAAGATAATTTATTTCTTACAAGGAAAATTCTGAAATCATCCTCTAGGTATTCAGTTATTAATCCGAGTGACATTTGTCACCATCAATCTTTTTTTAATACCTGAAATTTTAGAGTTTAATGGATTAATTTACATATGAAAAATGAAATATTCTTACCTAAATTTTATCAAAAAATCGCTGTCATAAATTTTTTGATACTTTAGCAGACATTTGACCATTATTTGGTGAATTTTTCAATTTAAAAAAATATCTAAATAATTCATAATTCTTCAGTAAAATTTTTATTGAATAATTTGATTTTTTTTTGTAGATAAATTTTCTTAAGAAAAATCCTAAAATAAAGCCACCTAATTAATTAATCCACATTTTCACCATAAATTTTTTTTTGAATGCCTAAAATTTTAAATAGAAAGAAGAATGATGAATTTTTATTTAATTTTTGTCTACAAAAATTATAATACAGAAGAAAGCGTTTATTTGTACCAATAAATAGACTTTTTAAGTCTATTTGAAGACTTAAGTTGTTTTGGAGCAAATTAAAAATTTTCTTGTATTAAGAAAATTTTTTTGAGACAAGAGAATTCTTTTGGCTCAAAAAATTTTCAACTTTACCCAATTTTCAATGCAATGTAACTTAATTTAATTTGAAATATTTCAAAAATTTCAAATATAGTAAAGAGTGATATTAATAATTAACATGAAATAATTAAGTAAAAAATGGCACTAGAACCAGAGCTTTAATTATTTAATAAGATGCAGATTAATATAATATATAACACTGTGATGAAAAATTGTAAAAAGCAGTTTTTACTATTGTACAATGCTAATAAATAAATTTATCTTAACTTTACCCAAGATATTTTCGCTCTTCACATTATTTTTTTAAGTCAAGAAAATTTTTTCTCGGCTATGAAGAAATTTTTTCTGTATTTTTAATATACCTAATAAATTTATCTCTGTGCAATTTTCGAGCCAAAATTTAAGAATTAAAAAATTTATTAGTTCAAATGAATAAATAAATAAATAAATAAATAAATAATAATAAAATCAGCTGATATTTAGGAAAATTTTCAATTTTCTTATTAAAAAAAATATCAGAAGTCTATCATAAATAATTCTGATTCCTTCAAAAGATATTAAACTTTTCCCAAAAAGATCTTCAGACTTCTATTTCCGTCAAAATTCCCGACACTTAAGCTCTAGATCTTCGGATAGTTGATTGAGAATTAAAATAACGGGGGAAAATGGTTGGTGATTTAGAGCCAAGTGTATAAGTATGTAATCCAAAGGTTTTGGGTGCTGGTCTGATATTAGTTGAACTGGTTTAGCTTTATATACCTAAATGTAGAGTCGTCCTACGCCGATGAGAACCTGTTCTTCTGCTCGGGCACGCTCCTCCTTGCCGGTCCGAGTCATATCAACAGAACCGGGGGTCTTTTTCCCTCCTGAAACCTCAGAATCACTCTTGCTCGCTCCTTTGCAGTGTCGTAGACCGGCAAGGGTTGTAGTTTCCAGCGGGACCGCGAATTTTTTTACTTTTTACTCATTTTTCTCCCCAACTCGTACTCATACTCATTTCGCTCACACAGCGGCGAGGCATACATGCACAATGTATATTGTACAATACACCGCTCACCAGTGGAGTAAGATTTCGAGTCTTAGTCTCTTTTATTCTCATTTGCGAGAAGAGAGCATGGGGACAAAGGCTGAACGTGAGTTTAGTCTCTGCTCTCTGCTCTCTATCTCCTGTTTTATACTGTATGCATATGTACAATTTACTCCTCAAGAATAAGTCCGTTAAATTGTATTCAGTTTTTGCTCTACGCAAATTAGTGTTATTGACGTGCCCAATAAAAGGCAAGCTCGAGATAATAAACGACTCAAAAGAGAGAGTGTCAGTTTCGTTTCAGGACAGTTTTAAGTAAACTTGAACTCCTTTTAATGGTACTCAATCACCAGGCACTCGACAATGTGTTCAAGTTTATCTCGAATTAAAATTTATATTTATTTATTTTTATTGTGTTGATGTGAGAAATAATTTTTTGAAGACATTTACATGAAGAATATAAAAAATATTACATATTTATTTCTTCTTTTATAATTTTAGTTTTTACTTTAAAAAATTTTAATTTTTTTTTATTATAAATAATAATAAAATACTTCTTTTATACATTATTAATTTTTATTTAAAATGTTTCAATTGTTTAATTTTTTTATTAAGAATAATTGTAATTTCTTATTTAAAAATTATATCAGAAGAAATAATTTAAAAATTCAATAATTAAATTAATCATTGAAATTTTTATAGCCAAAAAAAAATCAATTAATATTATTTGATTTTTTTTTATTAAAAAAAAAATTTTTTATTATAAATGATAATAGTAATAATTACTTTTTTCATACATTTAAAATTTTTATTTAAAAATTTTAATTGTTTAATTTTTTTATTTAGAATAATTTAAAACATAAATTTTAATTTTAACTAGAAGAAATAATTAAAAAAATTTAATGATTAAATTAAATATTGAAATTTTTATTGCCAAAAAATATCAATTAAAATTTTTAAAATTAAGAAATAAATAAATTACTCCAATATAAATTCAAAATAAACTTATAAATTTTTTTTTATTCTTTAATTTGTTTATAATTAAAAACTTCCTTGTTTTTTGAATTGAATTTCAAAATATTGATATAATTTTATGAAATTAAAAAAAAACAGTTAATGATCTAAAAGTATAATTGCAGAGTACATACCTCAAAAAATATAAAAAGTGATCCATAAAAAAATATCTAAAGAAGATTATTTGGCTTGTGATTGCAGTTGGCGGTATGAGCCGGCCGTCGAAAGCCGTGACCCAGGTAAAGAAGGTGGCACCACCGGCCGTGCCCGATGTCTTCCGACACTCAGGTTCGTCCTTTGGATCGGCAGGATACGCCAGCAGCGAGGACGGAGGCTTCCTGTCGAGTGGCGGGGGTGTTCCTGGTGACGACGGGTCCTATGGAATGCCAGCGGGAAAGAGCCCGGGTCCCATTTACACGCATCCTGGATTCGCATTCCCACCAGTCGTTGGCAAATATGCTCACGCTGAGGATCAAGGTTAGTTACATTTACATTTAGACATATATACACATATGATATATATTCTCACATATATCTTTGTCTTCTTCTCTTAATATATTATTATTATTTTTTTTTTATTTTGTATATCTGCATAAAATTGAGAGTAGAATTTATCGGGGACCTAGCTATGTAGCCGGTCTTTCTCTGGTTCTGTTTCTGGTATTATCTCTTATATATATATATATATATATATATATATATATATATATATATATATATATAT